GTAGTTTTTTTTTAAGCAATTTAGAAATATTTAGAAGTAGTTGAAATAATCCACGGGGATTTCCGGCACTTCGCCGGCAAACTCTATCCCTACCCTTCGTACTCAAGCCTGCATTATACAATTTATAAACATAAACGTAATGTCAGAGATGATGTGTTAGCTCTGTGAGTAGAACACCACGCTTTCATTTTACCGATTAGGGTTCGATCCCAGTCATAGCCAATTTTTTTTCATTAAAATTTTACATAAATGCAATAATTGGTTGTTTATATAAGTTCAAAATCAATTCCTATTGTCTTTTAAAGACAACACTTTCGAAAAAAGAGAATTCATAGTAACTCGTTCCTCAGCCTTAGCTTATTTTCAGAAAAACAATTTGTTTTCCGTCATTAATTGGAAGAATAATTTAATAAAATATATGAATTAATTTATAAGTATATAAAGTCACTTAAGCAAAAAAAAGAAAAAAAAATTGCCTATGACTGGGATCGAACCCTGCCCAGCAAAATGAAAGATTGGTGCTCTAACCACTGAGCTATTATGGTTCCAATAATATTATAGATCAGGCATGGTCGATTGGGACTGCTCGAAGTCCCCGGGACTTCGTACCTGAAGTGACTTTTTCTAACTTTTGCTGTAGACAATAGAACCCCTATTGTCCCAGCAGTCTTAATCCCATACCCAATAGGGACTTCGAGCAGTCCCATCTATCGCAGTAGGTAGAAGTGAGACAAATGATAAAACAGTTTTCCCTCTTTGTTCCGTAGGGCAAGACCATCTTAGTTAACAATTGAAATATTAATTTACTTTCACAGGTAAAGATCGGATCAGTAGCTCAGAGGTTAAATTCTCTGGCTGTGAGTTTTGTGGCGACAGGTTCAAATCTCGCCAGTTGCTTTTTTTTTCTTTAACTTAATTTATTAATTCCATTACAATATTTATTATATTTTTTTTATAACAATACTGAGTCCCATGTGTCTGTTCTTCATGAGTAATGAAAAAAAATTTTTTCTGACCATTTCTTTATTAATGTCAGTAACAGAAGAAAAATGAAATAAACAAGTACATTGAACTTATTCACTACAAATTGAATTTTCTACATACATGTATATATAAAAACGGGAATGAATGTTTTTACAAGACATTTTAATATGTACTTAAAAACTACTTTACAACTACAACGGAAATATTTAAAATAAGTGATTAAATTTCAAAGAAATATACGCTGCTAAATCATAACACTTAGATTTTAATTCTCCATGTCAATGTCAGAATCACAGTCTGTATTGTGCGATTTGTGGCACTGCATTTTTGACATGAGATAACAAATGTCTGGTTCGCATTGACTTGTTTTAATGTTCATTAAGTGTCCTAAATTTTGGTCAGTTAATCGCGATCTTTCACTCGTTTTTATTTTCTTCATGAACGAAAAGCCACTCTCACTTAAATATGTTGATCCAAACACTGATAAAATTTTTTTGTAAATTTTCAAAAAATTTGGATATTGTTTATTTGCAGCTATCACATTCCACATGTTACCACCACTCGCAATTACAGCATTTATTTTATTGTCTCGTGGTAATGATTCAAATTCATTTACTAATTCACTGAAGTCAATCCAATCAGCATTTGAAAACAGTCGTTTGATTGTTTCGATGAGTTCTCCATATCGTTCGAATTTTATAGCAAACGGATTAACGGCTATTTTACCAATAATTTCAAGATCTCTAAAATCTTTGAAGCGTTTTTTGACTTCATCTAAAATAGGCATTGTTACTTTTATTAACGACTCACCATTGAATCGTTCTTCTGAGCTCTCACCGAACAATTTCTTCAATCGCTGCAATCTTTCATCGATAGTATTCACTTCACAATGTTTTATAATGTTCACCAATGTTAATTCGAAATCTCTAATCACTTGAATTTGGTCCCACACAACCTTACACTTCCCTTGCAGTTTTTTATTAATCGAATTAATTATTAAAGTTAAATCGACTGCGTACATCAATAATGACAGCCATTTAAAATCATGCAATTTATTGACCCACTCCTCTTTTTCTTTTATTAATAAAAAATCGCGTATTACCGGAAGTAAGTTTGCAAATCGTTGAAGCATGTTTGCTTTACTCAACCATCGCACTTCAGTGTAGTAAATAACATCAGATTCATCACTATTTTCGTCCATATCTTTTATGAGCTGCTTGAATTGTCTGTGATTTAACGCCCGTCCCCGAATAAAATTAATTATTGTTACCACTTCATCTATCACATCGTTTATTCTAAGAGCTTTAGCACACAATACTTGTTGATGAATGATGCAATGATAAACGTTGAAAAAAGGAAACTTCTTATTATTTCTACACTTAGCTAGAAAACCATTTTGATTTCCGGTCATCGTTGCAGCTCCATCAGATGTTATGGAAACCAACTTTTCCAGAGGGACATTGCGTGACTCTAGCAGAATTTCAAAATGCTTAAAGAGTTCATCGGCAGTGGTTCTATCATGCAATGAAAATAGTCCAAAGCATTCTTCTTTTAATGATAAATCGGGGAAAACCATCCTGATAAAAACTAGAACTTGCGCAATGTCGCTGACGTCCGTGGATTCGTCGAGTTCAAGGGAGAAACAGTCACACCGTTGTAGATCATCATCAATTTGAGAGTATATATTCTCACTCATTAATTGAATTCGATTGGTGATTATTCTCCGGGATAATGGAACGTTGGATATTGCCTCTTCTACTTCTTTTTGTAATTTGGGACAAGTGTTAAACAATTCCCGGTTGAATTTTTTTACAATGGTCTTCAATCCTTCACCATGCTCAAATGGTAACATCTCTTTCGCGATCTCTTGAGCCATCAAAAAAGAAATTCTTGTCCCTGTTGCTACTGATGCATCAATGCGTTCAGCCCCTTCATAACTCAGTAACGATTTTCTCATTGTGATGTGTGAAATTCGATCACTTTCCTCTTTTGTGCTGAATTCACGGTGAAAATTAAGGTAATGATTTTCGTGGTTCGTTTTTAAGAAGTGAATGAAAGGCTTTGGTGGTTCACATAACACACAAAACGCGGTATTGCGGTCAAACTGGACTAAACCATATTGGTTCTCCCACTGAGAATTATAAAAACGTTTTTTTGATTTTTTTGCAACCGGTTCATCAAACTCCATATTTCTTGTTATTAATGAAAACTTATTATTCACAAAAATACCGAAGTTTCAGATGATTGTCGAAACAAGACTGTCTTGGAAATTTAGAAAAATGCTTCATTTATAGATATGACCCCCCACTCTTTTGCCAATACAGGATTTGTATTATAATTTGTTGTGGGTATTGTTCATAACAGTAATATTGCAAGGTCAAATATTGTTTTGCATCGAAAGAAGCTATTTACGGCAGCTGTACTTTGGGATGTCATCCTAATTATGTAAGACCCAAACACGTACAGTAATTGATACATAAATCATATGACTTTAAAATTCAAAGTCATATCATTTATTGGGTGATTTTAAAGTTTTATATCGCCCACTGCAATTGCTACCAATATAATTGTCCGTTGTCTTTTAACAGACAGGTTCAAATCTCGTTAGTTGCATAATGTATTGTAGTAACACTTGTTACTACAATAAATTAAAAAAAGCAGAAATATATTTATTTTTTATCCTTTATCAAGACACGAATATGGGACTCAGTATTGTTATAAAAAAAATATAATAAATATTGTAATGGAATTAATAAATTAAGTTAAAGAAAAAAAAAAGCAACTGGCGAGATTTGAACCTGTCGCCACAAAACTCATAGCCAGAGAATTTAACCTCTGAGCTACCGATTCGTTCTTTACTTGTGAAAGTAAATTAATATTTAAATTGTTAACTGAGATGGGCTTGCCCTACGGGCAAGAGATAATGTAACTTTCTTACCCGGACCTTCCTAATCCTGTAATCCTAATCATAAAATTATTAAAAAAAGAATAGAATTTTATTGCAAGCAATAAAGTTGGAACAAAGGGGACTTCGACTCGAAAAAGATCGCCCATGCCTGTTATAGATGCTTGAAAATTATAAGCTGCAGGCTTAGGCACAGAGTGTGGGGGTAAAGCTTGCCGGCGAAGTGTCGGAACTCGCCGCGGATTGTTTAAACTATTTTTTATTGTTAATAAGTTGTTAAAAAAGGCTATTATCAATGTATTTGTACAAAAAGAGGTTAATGGCCCTGTTCAAATATTGTCTCATTTGTCATCGATTAATTGAAAAATAATTTTACATAAAAATTGAAATTTAAAACTCATTTTTGGCATGATAGAATTGCAATTTAAATAAAAAAAAATTTCGCCGCAATTGGAATCGAACACCATTCGGTAAAATAAATGTCGAATCTTCTGACTACAGAGCCAGCATATTTTCATTTGCTTTGTTTACATTTAGATATCATAAGCTTCAGGCTTGGTAACAGAGGGTGGGGATGTGCTTGCTCGTCAACTGTCGAACTCGCAGTCTTCTCTGAAAAATAAGACGGAGATAGATAGATATATTCTGTGCTCTGTTTTGCTCGAAACAGATTATTCTGAAATTTGTAAATTTCTTGGTGCCCTAAGGCTCCCTTTTTGTAGTGCATCCCTGAAAATTATCATTTTTCGAACCATTTCATTGTTACCTACTCAATTTTAATTGATGTTAAGCTTCGACCTTTTGCCGCACAACGCGAGGGCGTAAAGTCAACTCCGGGAAACTTTCTGACTTCAGCCCAGCCTTAAAATTACTCAAGGCCCTAAGACAAGTGACAAAGAGCGTTATTTCTTCTGTCGCAGTCTTACCGGTTAGAAATTTTTTTTTAATTCACTGTTAAGTAGAAATATTTTTACTTTTAAAATTAAAAATGTGCACTTGTCATTTTGGCACCTAAGATTGATAAAACAACTCTCCATGTAGTTACTTCTATATGTCATATTGTTATTATATTTGGTGTCTACTGGGTAAATAGTTTATGTCATTTACTCACAGATTTGTTGTATATTTTATTGGCGTATTGCTAATACTCTTGAATGATTGGGGTCTTTGGATGATTATAGAAAAAGTTGCTCTTAGCTGTGGTTCATCAAAACAAGGAAATGCCTGTCTTGCATAAACAGTTTGAAATTGTGTTGCAGCTATGTATCTAAAATAGTAAAATGATGTGAAATTTCAAAAATGCTTCATAATTACAGTAAAAAATGAGTCTGGGCTTAGTTTGTGCCTTAACGACGAACTTCCCATTAATTGAAATCCATAATTTTATCATCTTTTATTTTTTTTGTTTATAAAAGTTTACTATTATTATAAACAATATAAATCATTTAATCACATCAAGATATTTATAGTAACATTTCTTGATATTTATCGAATATAATCATAATCATAATAATTCAATTGATTAAAACCATTTTCAATTGTTTATAATAAATTGAATTTTTAACTTCCTATTAGGAAGTTATTGTAATTGGGTCGATTGGTGAAATTTGAATTTTCATTAAATCTCCGCGTTTCAAGACGTTTGCAAGCATACTGTCATATTTTTAGAATGATGTGTGTGTACGTATGTATGTATGTATGTATGTATGTATGTACGTACGGACGTCAGCATTTTTTTCGTTTTCGATATCTTAAGAACGGATCAAGATATCAACTTGAACCAAAATTAATTCGAAAGATATTATTATAAAGAAGATCTGAAAGCAATTTGAACGAATTCGATCAAGCCGTTTTTTTTATAACGAAATAACTAATAAAAAAATGAAAACATTAGCTATTTAAAATACTTTTAAGCCAAACAATAACAATTTTATTTGAAAATTAAGTTGATATTGACGTGACATTATTGTTTACAACCAAATATGACTCGTAAAATCACATATTGTTTATAACAATAGGAATTTGTTATAAACAATTAAAAATTGTATTTATTGAATAAGTAATGTGTATATCATATGTATATGGATGTTTTCAACAAACATTGATTACAACTATTTAAATTTGTTATAAACAATTACTAATGGGAAGTTCGTCGTGTTAGCACAGACAAAGTGTGTTCAGACCTATTTTTTATAAACAATACATGATTGTTTAGAGTCATATGAAGTTATTAACAACCATATTATATTGGCCTCAGTTGTCAATCATGTTAATCATTTAATAAGTATAATCTATTTCAAATATCTTCTTTATTCAACTTATTTTACTCTTTTTTTGTTATAAAAAAAACGGCTGAATCGAATTTGTTCAAACTTCTTTCAGATTTTCTTCATTGTATTACCTTTAAAATGAAATCTGTCCTAAGTCGATATCTTCAGTAGTTCTTGAGATATCGAAAACGAAAAAAAACTTGACATATGCACACACGCACATACGTACATACATCCATATTTAAACCTTCTAATATGCTTTCAAATGTCTCAAAACTTAAAGATATGATAAAATTACGAATTTCAAAAATCGACCCTATTACAATAACTTCCTCATGAGAAGTTAATAATTAAGGTAATTATCTACTTACTGTTGAGTCTGATTTGAATAGTAGGAAGATACATAAAAACCTTTTGTATTTTTTGATAACACTCCAGTATACGAGATTTCTATATCAGTTGGTGAATTAACTGTTAGAGTTTCATTTAAAATAATTGTAAGTTTTTCTGTTTTCTCATCATAATTCTTGTCTTCGATTGTTGGAGTTTTCACATTATTAATAATATTACACGTGTTTATTTTAAGATCTTTACCATGATGTAGCACGATTTTATTTGTTGACTCAACAACATGTGTTTTAATTTTAACTAATCCAGTAAATGAAAAATTGTTTAGTGGATCTAAAGATGAATGTATTCTAATTATGTATGAATTGGGAATGATGACTGTCGGCAACCGGTAATCAATCTTTCTTTTTCCTCCAGACTCGTCATTATTACGTTTAGTAATTTGACTTTGAATATCAACTGAATCAGATAAATCGAATGCAGTAAAAAGAAAAACTTTGAATAACGAAATTACGGAGAATAATAATAGAGACTTCATTATTCGTCTTTAGATGCTCGAGTTGAGTGTTAAACTGATATTTATGTTTGACACTTCTACTCCGAACGATTGATAATAAAAAATTATCTAATATAGTATAACAACGATTTAGATAAATTTAATGGCGAAATAATGTCTAGATAATTCATTGAATTGTAATATCAATTCGCAAGAATTGGAGTACATATTGGATTTTCCTCAAAAGTGTTTTATATTGTTTTAGGAATTGTTTAAAGATTACGATTTATTTGTATTCAATGATGAGATTTTAGAATTTGATTTTCTAATAGAATTTATTATCTCTCTTGGATATTGACAGTAGTCAATTATACTTTGATGAGATAAACTCATAGAAATTAGAAGTCACTGTATGAGTATTTTTGTTATCATTGATACGAAGTTAGGATTAAAATTTTTATGATACAGTAAAGTTATTTAACAATTTGTAATTTATAATTAGGTTATTTGATGAATATTTAATTTTTAAAAATGATACAATATTCAACTGATATTGTTTTAGCATAAATTTTTTAATTTAAATTGAAAACCTATGTAAAAGTTTTGCTTCGACAATAGAATTATATTAACAAATCATAGATACTCGAAGGCTACATATGTAATCAAACCACGTGTAAATTATTCGTGAATTGTCGAACTAAATCTGCCATGTCTTCTCTAATATAAATTTTTGATAAAATAGATTACTATCGGTGTGCACTGTAAACACTTTTGAAGATAAGAAATCCAATAATAAAAATTAAGACTCTTACTGAGCGCGAAAAGTTTAGCTTCAGACAATCATTCTTATCACTGTTCTCCATGATCATAGGATACTCACAGGCTAGATCTTATCAATAAACTACTGATATTTATTCTTAAGTGATTGGATTATAAATTTTACAACTATCATTTCTAAATTAATATTTATTTGAAATGTGTATGTGATACTGCAGGGTGAGGGTAAAAATTACTATACACATTATAAAAATTACTGTGCACATTGTAAAAATTACTAAACTGCATAGTAATTTTTACTCTAATTTTATCTTAAAAATTACTGTGCAGTTTAGTAATTTTCACAATGTGCACAGTTATTTTTTTAATGTGTATAGTAATTTTTACCCTCACCCTGCAGTATCACCAAATTACTATAAAATTCAGGGTAATTTTTACTATACATTTCTCTGCGTGTACGGAATTGTTTTTTATCTCGATTATCTAGCGAACAAAAAATGAGATACAAGTGAAACCAATTATGTTCGACGCATAATTACGCAACTTTAAACTGATTAAGTTTTCAGCCAAATTGATTTAGCCATTTTTCGAGTGGGATCAAAAAACTAAAAAAAAAATGGTAAACGAGCTGCATTTTGCAATTCAGACAAAACTTTCACACCTAATCTTCTAACAATGAATATCATAAATATAATTATAATAATAATAAATATAATAACGATTATGGTAATGATTGATTTTAAAAACAAAAAAAAATCCTCTCATACTTTCTACTGGGAAGTTAATCAAGTGAATCTTCCGAGTCACACTCAGATCAATTATACACTGTAAATCTCAGTTCTCCAAAATGCATTATTTTAATGCGGATAAGTGTGTTAAATATGACGTCACCCATTCGATTAACATTGTAGTCACTTTTAACGCATTTCTAAGTGTGTAAAAAGTGACTACAATGTCAATCGAATGGGTGACGTCATATTTAACACACTTATCCGCATTAAAATAATGCATTTTGGAAAACTGGGATCTACAGTGAAACAGCACTAATATGTTGATACAGAATGTTAGAAGCATTCTCGTGTACAGAAAAATATTTCAAAGGAATTCCAAAAAAGTTCCGATCTGAAAGAATTTCAGTTTTATTAATGAATTTACGAAGTTAATTAGTAAAATCTAAATTTATATAAATTCATCCGTATTAAAAAATTTCGTTCCTCAGTGGGGAAGTTTTCTGATATTTCCGTTGTGGGACTATGGGGAACGTTTAGGTAATGAATTTTTTTTTGAAAATTTTCTCTTTCTACTCTAAACGTTCTTTACTTGCAAAACCAGTGATACAAATCGTACAATAATAGTACATTGTGTGACAAGGGCGGTAAATAGCTGATTGCGCACGAATTGGAGCGTCCATATGCCGCTTTCGTGCGCAATGAGCTATTTACTGCTCTTCGCTCGTACGAGCGAAGCGAGTGCGTTCAGCTGCCTGAGTGTGTAATCAGCTACCGCCCGAGTTACACATACTATTTTTTGCCACAAATGCAGCAGAAAAGCAGTAGCAAGGGAGGGGGGTCATGGGGTCAGCGTAATAGGGGTGCGGGGCAAAGCCCCCTGCAACAAGAAGAAATCCAAATTTAGTTAAATTAAATATTAATAATGTTATTTTTCATCTTTTTTTTATCCCCAACATAAATATTTACTGTAGTACAATTGGAAATTCGATATTTTACATTTTTTGAATTGATGAGATCATTTAAATTTATTTCTTCTTGGCCCTCAATACTGCAAATTTCTTCTGCTTCGTTTGGTGTTGTAAGATGACAGGTTGAAGTCGATTGACCTGGTTCATCAAATTCCTGTATGGCTGTCGCAGTAGATGTTGATGGTCCTGGTTGATTTGTTATGGAACTCATTATCTGTTTATTAATTTTTTTTTGTTTTGAATTGAATCTTCTATGTAGCCTTCTGTTACCGAGTTGGATTTCCATCCTTCATGTCTCTTCAATGTAGTTATTTCCGCTACTGAATCTACTAAAATTGTCGCGGACGTTCTATGGAACGTATGTTCTACATATAGTTCCGAATCTTTTAATTTTAAATGAGTTGCGACTGTTCTTGACATACTTTAGAATGTATTTACACCAATTACTGGAGATGTGCATTTATCTTTTCGATAATTTGAAAAAAATCCTGACGTTTTTACATTCAGTGGGCGGAGGTTCACATACTTTTTATAAATATTGTAAAATAAGAGCAAATAACAACTTTGGGAAATTAATAAAAAAAGAAAAATGTTTCTTACAGATTGACAGCAATTAATTAGGAAGAAAGAAACCGTGCAGTCAATTCAAGTCTCGGTCAAAAACTGGAGAGACACAAACTCTCCGTTCGTTGCGATAAACAATCTAATCGTCAAGCAATCGTCGTTAACTAACAAACTGTCGTTAGTCTAATAGTCATTAGATGGCGACATACAAATATTTTACCCTTCTCCCGATCTTCTAAAAATTTCCACTTGGCAATTCCTAATAGTTGAGTAAAAATATTGGATTAAGCTGAAATAAATAACATAAAAAATCTAAAATTAAATTTATAATTCGAAATTATGAAAATCAAATTAATAATCATTCAGCCTAGATTCCAATATTGCCGCTTCCCAATTCTGTCTGCTTTAAAATAAATAAAACAAATTATTCTGGAGGGACAAATCCTGCGGCGGGTAAAAACCTCCAAACAGACCAAAATAATCTAAATAAAACTAATAACGTGATTCTATACAATAAAAGATTTCTTAAAAACTAATCGTCCGTTACTCACTGTGCAAACTAAATTATTAAAAATTGGGCTCACAGTTACGCATACTATCCGAACAAAAATATTAGGATACCATGGACATCCAGTACTTCACTTTGCTTTACTTTGGCCAATAAATGAAGAAAAGGATTCCAGTACAATGACTCCAACCGTGTATATCCTACAGTAACTCCACGAGAACGCTCCAGGACAGACATTGTGAATTTAAATCAACAATCAAATGATCAATGAGAGCCAACATTCTCAGTCTGGAAGTTACAAAAACCCTGAATTCAACAGAAATTAGGAATCCAGAAAGAGTCAAAAGAACTAATCATCTTCATAAAGAGCGAGTCTATTCACATGAACAACTTTCAAACGACTATTCGGAATTTTATGAATTCCGAAATACAACATCATTAAGTTCGTTTTTGATAATATATGGACCTTCCCACTTACATTAAAGTTTTGGACACTTTCCTTTAACTCTTTTAGGAAAAAATAACCAAACCTTTTGACCGACATCAAAAAAAAGAACACTAGATTTCAAATCATCCATACACTTAAGTTTTTCAGATTTAATTTGCAACTTATCACGTACATTATCATGAACAATCTTCAATTGTTCACGAAGATTGAAAACAAAATCAGTTATAGAATTATTCTCAAAAGAATTATCTGAAGAATTAATTCCTCTAAGAAGATCAATAGGCAACCTTAATTCACGACCTAACATCAACAAAGCTGGACAATACTCAGTAGTTTCATGTCTTGAAGAACGATAGGCCAATAAAAATAAAGAAATCCACTTATCCCAATCTTTTTGATTCTTACTAATAAATTTGGACAAATATTGAAGAATAGTCCTATGCAACCTTTCAACTAAACCATTTGATTGAGGATGAAGAGGTGTGGTTCTTGTCTTCTTAATTCCAAAAAGACTCACCTCCTTGAAGATTTCAGATTCAAATTCTCTACCTTGATCAGAATGAATTTCAATAGAAACACCATATCTACAAAATATTTGAGTTACTAGAGCCTCAGCAATAGTAGAAGCTTGATGATTAGGCAGAGGAATTGCCTCAGGCCATCTAGTAAAATAATCTGTAACAACAAGTAAAAATTTATTTCCAGAGGAGGTTTTAGTAAGAGGACCAAAAATATCAATAGCAACTCTTTCAAAAGGAAAATCAACATTATAAATTTGAAGTTGACTACAAGATTTTTTATGACAACCCTTTTTAGCGAAATAAGATATAAAAGTTTTGCAATAGTAGCAAAATCTTTGACGAATTTCCTATGATAAAAACGAAGAGCTAAAAAACTTCTAAGTTCAGATTTATTTTTAGGAACAGGCCAACTAATAATAGCAGAAATTTTATCTGGAGAACTTTTCAGTCCTTCACCAGAAACTACATGTCCAAGGAAAATAACTTCTTTTTGGAAAAATATATATTTCTTAGGATTTATCTTAAGAGAAGCTTGTAAAAGCCTTCCAAAAACATTTTGGAGGTG